GGTTAAAGGTGCCCTAGAATGTTTTTTTGTATTATTTTATAATGTTTCCTGGGTTGCCCTTATAATGTTAGTATGTTTTTTAGATCAAAAATAGTCATAATTTAGAAATAAAAGGCATTTTTCCTAGCCTGATTTTAGCCTCTGATTTGAACGCTGTTTGAAGGGGCGTGTCTGCTGTGTGTAACCAGCCTCTGCTGTGATTGGCTGACATGCTTGCATATGAAATAGCAATGTATTACATTTGAAACTCTCTCGAATAATTTTACTACAGCTATTATACGTTTTTACTATTACAGCTATCGAGATTAACGAATCGTGAGATGTTTTTAAAGTATTTAGATCTATTCCCATCACATACAATGTGTGTTAAAACGCGAAAGGCGAAGCTTGAATTAAAGGGTATGTCCCTTTTTGGCTAATGTACTTTCAAGATGGAGGGGCAACATGGCGACCGACATTAGAACCCCTTACCCGTATGTATTTTCAATGGCATATTATACACTCACGAGAATACTTTATTACTTGAACGAAGTAAATATACATTAATGAGCACATATTTTTTTGAAAGAACTAAGTGTTTTTAGCTAAGAATAAACTAAAAAAGTTACACAGTGTAGCTTTAAGTAAGAAGGAGAAAACAATGGTGTTTGAGACTCACTGTATGTCATGTCCATGTACTGAACTCTTGTTATTTAACTATGCCAAGATAAATTCAATTTCACATTCTAGGGCACCTTTAATGCAGAAAGATGCTTTCTGCTGCCAGACTATGTAGTTATCAGCAGAAGCTAATGCAGCCATGCTAAACTTGTAGACAGAATTGGAAATGCTGAAGTACTTTCTGGTTTTGTATTTTTCAATACTTACACCTCCTCTTTTATCATGAGTATGTGAGTCTCTTTTATCATGAGTAATCTGTGAATGAGATCTAAATGTCACCCTATAGACGAGACTGCAGACCATCAGCCAACATTTCTCGTACTTCCTCTTTGCCCTTCCCCATCTCTCGCCACTCTTCACCACATAAAGATTTACTCCTCCGTTTGGAATAAAGACTCCTCTGTTTGCATAGACCCTCCTCTACAAACTGCACAGCTGCCCATTTGGGATTTCCAGCCACTGCCAAGGCAATCTCAATTAGGTGTCAGTAAATATTTATCCTCAAAATTATAGCAGTGATGACAAAAGGTCATTGAGAACCGCTGCCGTCTGACTGTTTTTTTAATGAAGAGGTCATTAGATTGTTTTAGATTAGAACTGATGGGCTTGAAATCACTTGTGGTTCTGTGATCCAGTTTCTGCTTAAATCTGTGAGCCATTTACATAAAACGAGGAGAGAGAAAGCCTTGAAGAGTATCATGGAGGTTTAGTTTAACTTTGTATTGATTCCTGTAATTTCATTAAAAAAACACAACCTAGGAGTGAATGGAACATCAATTGATCCCCCAATTAAAATGGAAATCCTTGGGATTGGTTTAAGGTAGTGTGCAGAAGCAGGAATATATAATGTAATCAAAGGGGATGTCAGGATGTGTCGTCAGATGTGCTGCCTGCAAAATCACTTCACTAGCACTCAAGATGAGAGTGAAGACTCTTCACCTCCCTATATATCGCCTGTCCTTCTGCACAGTAACCATCTTATTTCAAATCATTGGTCTGCAGATCCAAGAAAACCACAGAACCCCATGACTTATTATTATTATTCAATTCTACTGATAATAATAATACAAAATAATAATGATTTGCAAATGTTTATTATTATTATTATTATACTTTCTTTTCAATTTTGAATACAAAAAGAGCAAAATCTTAATATAAATCCTAAATTTAACTGGTAGCCAATGCTTAGAGGTCAGAATATGTGAAAGTGATTTTTTTGTGTGCAATTTGACAGTCAAAAGAGCATTAAAAAAACCATTTTGCTATACACACACTCACTTGTCAATGACAGTGTCATTTGATCAGAATAATAAAGAAAGATCTTACATTCACATACTCGCCCACACACAAAGCGGTGTAGATTTATGTTCATTCATCGGCGACCGTTGGCACCTCGTGACCTGCATGGCTAATGGAGTCTCTGCATTATTAACAAAGCTCCTCATACTGTGGCTCTGCAGCTGCCCGCACGCCGCCCTTGGCAATGCTAGCTAGCCCCATGCTACACAGAGACCCCCTGTCATATCTTCTCAGCACTGAAGCGCTACAGTGCATCAAAAAAGCCAATAACTACTTTGCATGTGTGCCAGTGTCACACTTTATTGACTACCTTTTGGACTTGGCCAATCGAGTTAGTGGCGTGTGCGTGCTGTTAGCTCAGCTTGATGGGGGGCTACATAATTTTAGGCACGGTGGCCGTAGGTTTCACTAATAGATCTGCCCAGGCGATGAGCTCGGTATAGTGTGACTTCAAATAGCTTGCAGTAGCATCAAATATTTACCAGCCATGCTGCTTTTCCACCTGCTCTCCTTCTGCTGGAGCGTAGCGGAGTGCGTGTGATCCAGCAACATACCACTGTGTTCGCTGTTTTTGACCGCTGCTAGGAAGAGTGTTGACCTCGGTTCCCGGGCAGGGACGGTTTGCTGGTCTCTGATGAACAACTTTGGCCACAGAATATGTGGCGTGATAGTATCAGTTTCTTTTTTGAGCACCAGTTGAGAACAGGGCAGATGTTCTGCTGGTCTTTGGCTTCAGTTCTTTTGTCTGAAAGCAAAATGTGACTTCCTTTCAGAGAGATATAATAAAATGGTGTACTGTGGCCCAAATCAATATAACTGCATTGATTTGAGTTCCTTTTTTCAGGTAAATGTTTGAAAGGTAAATGTTGGAAATCAGATGTATTTGTGTAAGTGTTGATGGTCTCATACTCCGATAACAAGAAATACAAAGCTGCCTTTGGGAAATTGATGTTTCTTAGAGCGGTCAGAGCTCCTTCTGAGAAGTAAACCTATATAAAATACTGTCAATGATACTCAATACTCAAGTAAATGGCTCTCTTTGTGAATGGGCAATTGAATCATTGGTTCACCCGATTGATTCACTCAAAACGTGGATTCATTCAGAAATTAAACGCAACAGTTCTGCTCTTGCTCTATAGGTAATATTTTCGTTGGCAAAACTGAACAAAAGCAGACAATATTGTGTCTAAAATATAACACAATATTAACTTCTTATTTATTGAACTATTGTAATAAATCAATATCACATTTGCACTGCTATTGGGGACAAAACATCACTTGAGTGATATGGTACTTGTTACTCGTGTGATATTACTTAACTATATCATGATATAAATATGAGACAGAAACTCATAAAGGGCCATTTTTGCCCTGATATCTTGAATTTTAAGGGCATTCTAACTGCATTCGAGATGCTACATCATGCAGTGGGTTGTTGCTCTGCTTCATGTTCGTCACCAATCATTTTATCAGAGAGAAGTCTGTCTTTTTCACCTGAAGATCCAGTTAGGATATTTTGATTAAACATTACAATTAAACATTATGACATCACAAAAATGTGGAAAATGAAACGTATATTCACAATGCAATCAATAGCATGCATTTAAAAAAGTAGATAGGGTGAATTTTCATTTCATTCTAATGTCTCTACTTAATTTCAGCTGTTTTCTGACATGCTTTTTTATTCAATATTTTTTTTGTCCACGTCAGTTTATCAATTTCAGCCGCCGCTTTGCATTGCATAAAATGTACCCTAAACAAATTGTGATTGATTGCTTTACATGTCATACATCATACTCTTCCTGTCTGAGCAGGCCAGAATAAGTTACGATATGGACCAGACCTTTTGCCTGTTAGTCAAATGTGCTGCTACATGAAACTTGTGTATAAGCGTGGTTCTTTCCTGAAATAATGTGCTCCAGTTTTACTTGTTTCCTTGTTGATTTTACTTACACTCTAAAAAATGCTGGGTTGTTTCAACCCAAATTTGGGTCAAATATGGACAAACTTTTTACAAAAACAAAAATTGTATTTAAAAATGTAACCCAATGGCTGGATTTGTCCATATTTGACCCAAATTTGGGTTGAAACAACCCAGCATTTTTTAGAGTGTATATTCTGATTTATATTAACAGCAAAAACAACATGCGCACAAAGCGCCAGGAGCATTTTATTGGTCAAGGGAGAGTGCGCCTGAGCCATGAGCTAAATCAACATGACTAAGTGTGACACTGAGGAAGATGAGGGAGTCCAGAGGAAAGATGAGAAAGCTGATATACAGTAAAACAGAATACGCTTCAGGCTGCTTGAGGATATTACAGAGAAACACGAAGGCTCGCAGGAGTGCGCTTGAGACAAATACGGAAGGACAAATAACCATAGGAAGCTGAAGAAAATCGTTTTTCATTTAGGAACCACTTAAATGGTTTGCTTAAATCCAGCAGAAATATTGCAGCAGAAGTCATGTAGCGTTCTCGAAATCTGAATATCATTTTGACATTTTAGCATTAAAATACAATATCCACAATAGTGATGAGTTAATTTACCCTTGTTCTTGGCGGCAGCTGATGAAGGCCGTTGCGTGATAATGCTGATATTAAAATATGTTCATGAAGTCATACCCTCATTCAGCTGAGTGAAGTACCAAGGGGACTAAAAAAAAAGCGCAAAGCCAATAAACAAAGACAAAATGGTGTGCTGAGTTTGGATTCAGCATGTTAAATCAAAGACAATTACAACTGCGCTGCTCTGTCCCATGTTAATGAGCCCAGCTCTGAATAAAGGGATGAATAAATCATGGTTCAGAAAACACATTTGAGGCTCCCGCTTTTCAGAGCCTTGTGTGTGTGTGTGTGTGTGTGTGTGTGTGTGTGTGTTTGTTGATAGACCAGCGGAGCATCGCAACAAACATCAAAGCAGCTAGACAAAAGGGATTCACTCTTATATGTTCTCCAATTCTTAGGGCCGTGTGTGTTATAATGACAGTGGTCTGAAAGAGAGATAGAGAGAGCGCAAACGAGAGAGAGAGAGAGAAAAGGGAGGGAATAAAGCAGTCGGTACAAGGCGCAGTTGAGGAGAGCAAGAGCCACAGTATACAGAGCAGCATATAAGACGATGACGAGAGACACGCAGTGAAGGTGAACGGAAGAATAAAACACGAGGGATTGTGAACAAGCAGAAAAAAACGGTGCATGACGAGGGAACTGGATTCACAGCAAGGCAGCTGAGTCCGGCTCATTATGAAAAGGATCCGTTGCAGACTGCAGGCAGGGTTGTGTGAATGGAAGAGACACTAGATCTGTAGATAGCGGAGACAGAAGTGCAGGGGATGGTTGGGTTGCATGAGCTCTGTTGTTGGCATCACTGCTGCTGTCCTACACCGCTACACTCGAAACCCTTTCAACACCCTCAGATATGAGCTCCAAACACTCATCGGACTGGATCCCTTACAGGTACATCTGTTTATCGGTGAGCTTGCATGTGTTTGGTTGGAGAAGATATATGTGATAGGGGATCGAGGATGATGAATGGATAATGCTGGCAGGGCTGCAAAGGTGACAAAGGTGATTCTCTCGTCCTTGTACTCTTGGGTTTCTCATGCAGCACGCAGAGCTACATAGTATGTGAGTAGTTGTGTAGTTGTTTCTGAGGTTTTTGTTTATATCAGCTGGTCTGATATAATATCTATTACAGGGCTATAACGATAAAGATGGGCCGATGGCTACCGGAGCCAGTTGACGTTACTGTCACTGCTGCATTATCACTATACCTTATCTTATGACTGTTTATGTATGTTTTTTTATGCTTTCAGAACTTTTTGAAACAATTTTGAGACTAAAATGCTATTTAGCTGGCTAGCATAGATACAATTTTGTTGAGATTGTGAGAATTTGATGGATAAGTTAGAATGGGTAACGTTTTAGTTACGTTTTGTGCTATTGTGGTATATTTTCCAAAAAGGTGTGAATTTATAGTTTTTATAATAAATATAGCTGCTGCATTTATTTGATCAAACATACATTAAAACAGGAATATTGTAACAATCTATATAACTGTTTTCTATTTTAATATATTTTAAAATGAAACTATCCATCACTTCAGTCTTCAGTGTTACATGATTCTGAAATCAGTCTAATATGCTGATTTGGTGCTCAAGAAATATTAATTTTTTAGCAATGTTGAAAACAGTTGTGCTGCTTAATATTTTTGTGAAAACTGGATTATTTGATGAATAGAAAATTCAAAAGAACAGCATTTATTTAACAGCATTGTAAACTTATTTACTGTCACTTTTTATCCGTTTAATGCACTCTTGCTGAATATTATTAATATATTTAAAGAAAAATCTTTTAAACGGTAGTGTTAATATGTATTATTTTAATTCCATATTTTCCCTAATATGGCTAATATCTCATCATTAAAAATTCTTTGCATATATTTTGCTTTATATTTTTACTGACTTGTATTTCCATCTGGTTTGGTGGTCAGTGATTATCACTGTATATATGAACATAGCCATGCTTTTGGTTTATGTTTGCTGTTGGAGGCAGTCTTGCTGCTGCCTCATTGTCATGGCTGCACTGCCTCCTCTTCTCTCTCATTGGCTCTTGGTTGCTATAAGTTACAAGCCTACTTTCCTCCACTCTTTCTTTGAAAGATTACATTAGGGAGCACTTGCCGCTTGTTGCAGGGAGCTAAAGGTACCGCTCAATCTACCCTGGAGGGTCTAAGGCTGTCTCTATGGGAGTGTGTTTTGTTTGTGAAGATCTGCCCTCTCCCACACCCCAGTTTCCTGTGTGTGAGGTCTGTGATTGTGACCTGAATGGATTTGAGAAATCTAACGAGCTTTGGCACTGGAGGAGCTCAAGGAAACCGTAATGGAAATTCTTGCTTTGAGAGATGCATACATGAGTCATTTGTTTTATCTGAACCCGAAAAAAAAAACCTTAAATGATACAGTTGCTCTTACTTATTTGTCATAGACATTAGTGGGATTAAAAGGAGGGTGATTTAAACCTTTTGAAAATACTGTCCTGCACTCTAATGTCTCTCCACACTTTCTTTCTTCTAAAGAACACAGAACAAGATGTTTGGACCCCATTGACAACATATACTTTTTGGTCTCATTTGTATCTATGTGAATTATAGAAACATAACTGACAACTCCATTAAAGCAGGGTAGGTGATTTGTTCCAGAATTTTTTTTTGTTATGCTGGTCTTCACATCTTGATAACAATCACTAAGTTAAGTGGTCTAATTGTATTTATATATACTCATTACTGTCTGAATGCAATGATGTCAGTGAATTTATTTCCATACCTCCGCACACCCTGCTCACGCAGACATCACACGTCATCGGCGCGTTTCATGCTATGAGTTAGACAGATGTCAGTCACAGAGCACCACAACCGAAACAGCAGCCACCTTTAACAGTTCCTCCTGAACCAAAACAACGAGCTTATGCTGCATTCGCACCATAACTACTGTAATTTGGATGAAATTGAAACCTGTGACGTTATACTCTGAGCGGTTCGTGACTCGAATTTATGCTAAATAGTTAGGAATCAGGAACAGATTAGCTTTGCAAGTCAGGTCACCTTCATTTATTGTAGCACTTTATTTCAAATTTATTATAGTGCTTTATTTTTTTTTGTTTCAAAGCAGCTTAATAAACAGAAAAATATCTGAATCAGTGATTCAAACTATCAAATATGTGACACATTCAAATTCTGCTGAAAAGCAGCTCTAAAATGACACTACTGTTATTTATTCAGATCAATTCAGTTCAAGTTTTGTTCTCATCTGATAATATCAGTGTAGTCAAATCAATAATATTATTGAATATTATTTTAAATATTCTTTTAAACATAGACTAAGCAAGCCAAAGGCAAGAGTGGCAAGGAACCCAAGCTCCATCAGGTGACAGAAATGGCGAAAAAAACCTTGGAGCTCAGTCGGTGGTCCAGTTCTCCTCTTGCCAAATGAGTGATCTCATAGATTAAATATTGTGTGTTTTCCATATTGTACATTAGAGTTGTGGTTAGCTGCAAAGTAACATTTGAATTAATCATATGTGAATTTCGGGCAATGATTTCCATCCAAAAAAGAAAGTAGGTCAATAGAGGAGCAGCAGTAGGGCGATCTGCTATTAAGTGGCTTGCTTACAGGCAGATTGGTAATGCAGCAAGATCTGGATCTTGTTCTTTGTGGTAGCAGTAAGCACAGGCAGCAAATGTGTCCTTCTCTTATCTCTCCCTCAGTCAGCAGGGCCGTTGGGCCCTTCATGGTATTTTTTTCCTGGTGTGATCAACATCTCCTCCCCTGCAGATGGGGCTTGCGATGAAAAATGTATCGTGCTGGCAGAGCTGAGGTTGCCTCAGCTGGATCATCTGCATCACACGGACTAATTTCACAGCCTTTTCCAGTTTATTTGAGGGCCACATGGACACACACACATACTGTACATACACAGAGCTCACTGGAGGTTAATAAGGACCTTGTTATCCACAAGCATGGAAAGATAAGTACCATTGCCTGTTTTCAATTTTGAGTGCTGTCATGCTAGTGTGCTCGTACATAAAGAACACATGCATTTTTAAAGAGTCCTTACAGTGTCCACATACTGCTACAGTCTTGTCCAGATCAGAAAAATGTTCTCTAAACAACAGCAACATTTTTTAAATTATATTAGATAGATGGATAGATAGTGTTTTACATTTTTTGTTGTTCTGTGATGCACTTAGTAAATTGCAGCAGATAGGCTAGTTGTGAAAAGAGAGGATCAAAATAAGTCTCATTGCAGGTGGAAAGCACTGAGAAAAAAAGATGCAGAAAGAAAAAAAACTTGCATAAATAAAGTCTTTAAAACCTCGAAGGTTTAATTGACCTTCTTCATAAATTAACTGTGCAGTAGTGCTGTGTAAATGCATCCAGACTCCTTAAATGTATTCACCCGGTAGAAAATACATACATCAACAATTATTCATACTTACAAGCAGTGACGTGTCATGCGGTGATGTCTTAAAGGGGTCATATAATGCCATTTTTGTACAAGCTAATATGATTCTTTAGGGTCTAAATTAAAAGTTTGTAATATACTTTAATTAAAAATTCTCATTAGTATTGTAAGAAAACACTTATTTTACCTGGTCAAAAACAGCTCTGTTTTCAGCACGCTGTTTCAGTGCATATGCCTTTAAATGATCATGAGCTGCGCTCACTCCGCCCCTCTGTTCTGTGCGTACACCGTTTGTAACACAATAACACAATAACCATAACGCGTTGTTCAGTATAAACGTGGAATTATGAATTATATTGAGAACGTCATACATAGAAAACATGCCGTAATGTACCCTAAGTGTAAACCTTAGACACAATCATTGTGAAGCGTGCAGCTAGCGATTTGCAAAGATTAATATATTAATATAAAGTTTAATAAAACGTTTCACTCACTTCCGTTCTTCTGGAGGTTCAGCAGGAACACGAATATCTGGTACCGATCCTTTTTAGCAAAGCTTCTTAGCAAATCCAGCTTTATACTGACCCTCGTTTATAAAGCAGTCTGGTGTGTGAAATGATTCGCGCAAACATGAAAGCATTGACGTTGCTCGTGTGGAATATTCCCTTCAAAAACAAAACTCAGCCACTGCGTCTTCAGCGGTTCGGATTCAGGAACATTAAAATGACTGTGTTCGTTATTACACCCAAGAACAGAACACCACAATCGCTTAGACGCCATTCTGCTCATAGACAGTGCTCCAGCACATCAACAATGACCGCGCCGGTCCGGTCCGCGCCGCGCAGACTATGATTGACAGCTACCTCATGTGCGAGGGCGGGTCTGTGTTGAAACGCTCCCGTCAATCAACAATCGTGGGAGGGGCGTCCGTTTTATTGACGTCACAAAAACGAACGGCTCAATTTGAGGCTGGGGAAAACATATAAGGAGATTAAAACAAAACCACTGGATGGATTTTTATCATTATTATGATGTTTGTGTACAGGCACTGCCAACACACATTTCAGTACAATCAACTTGTAAAAGTGCATGTACCATTATATGACCCCTTTAAAGAGGCTAGGCACTGAGTTATGAAAGCCAGATTACCTGATTTATTGTTTAGGCTAATAATACGTATAACAGTAAACGTTACGCACAAGCGCAGCATAACAAGAAATGTTCAAATCAGGATGCATAGGCTATATCGTGTACTCTCACAGTCTCTCTCTCTCTCTCTCTCTCTCTCTCTCTCTCTCTCTCTCTCTCTCTCTCTCTCTCTCTCTCTCTCTCGCACACACACACACACACATACATACACACATACATACATACACGCACGCACGCACACACACAAGCGCAGCACAGGCAAACACCGGTGGTTAATGTCCACTCCAGCATCAGAATACAACCATTCTTAATCCTTAATTTTTGCACAGCGGCCAATTATGTCT